TAAGGCTGTCCAGTTCCATCCACTTGTCTCTGAGGTCCGTCGGGCAGACGTCCCTCAGCAGCGTCCCAGTCTTCTCCGCGTCCTCCCAGGCCATGTTGTGTGGTATCACCCGGTGCTGCTCCATGCCCAGCAGCGTCAGCAGCAGCCGCGGCCGCCGCACGTACAGTCCACACAGCTGCTGGGCGGTCAGCAGCCGGAGGGGCCGGATCAGTTCGTCCGGCAGGTCCGCCACCCGCGCCTCCGGCGGCAGCCGGGACTGGACCTCCAGCGCCGCCTCCAGCTGGGGCAGGTACGGCACCGCCTGCTGTCGGATGCCCTCCTGGAAGAACCAGGTCAGCTCCAGTTCCCAGAACTCCCCTCCGTCGGCGCAGAGGACATGGTGGAACGGAAACATCGCTCCGGCGCTCGCCGGCAGGCTGGTGATGGCGTGGATCAGGTGCGCGCTGCCGTCGGGCAGAGGTCGCCGAGTCACAGACACCAGGTGGAGCTGAGCTGCCAGTGGGAGGCGAGAGACTCCCAGGTAATGCTCCAGCAGCGCCGCCTCGCGGTAGTGCTCATAGGCGGCCCGGTGCAGACGATCGGCGCAGAACTTTGAGAAGCTGGCGCAGGATATCGCCAGGTAATCCACATCGGCGAGAGTGGAGAAGATGTTCGGGTTTTGACCAGGTGTCACACTGATGCCGAGCACTGCTTGGTGAATGTAGAGGTTCAGTACCGGGACCAACATACTGCGCATGTTTCTAAGCGATTCGGCCATTTCAGCTCGCTCCTCAGCATTCAGCGATCCCAGAAGGTTTATCTCCGTCCAGAAGTAGCAGGGAAGCACGCCCTTCTCCACACATGTTTGCACAAAGTCGAGGACGACCATGGTGTGATGGAGCAGGCTCCTTAACTCCTTCCTTTCTTCAGCTATCCACAACACACCTGTTTTGAGATGGTAGCTCTTCAGTTGCGGAACCCTTTTACCCAGAAGATTCTTGCCGATTTTGAGTGTGACGAGACACTCGCGATGTTGTGCCTCCAGCATCCGCATCAGCATGTACTCCTGCTGCGAGAAGGAATAGCGCCACTGGTGCTCTGCGGAGGGACTGCGCTTGAAGCCGGCCGCCACCATGTACAGTTTGGTGGCGGTGAGGCGCTGCACCATGGACCGGTTCACACAGCCCGTGAACTGCTGGCGGCTCCGGTACGCCTCCAGAGCTCCATCGGGCCACGCCACTCCCGGGATCGAGAGCACCAGGTCCAGATCGTAGGCAAACGAGCGATCCTTCTCTCGCGCCACGGACGTGAACGCAGGGCCGGAGCGAACGGTGCTCCTCAGACCGGCCGAGCCGCTGCGCAGTCCGAGGTACAGGGAAGAAGCTGAGAACGGACAGCGACCGGGCAGGGTGCAGCGCGGGCTCTTCGGGTAGTTGAGCATCACGTAGCCAGTTGAGGCCAGCGGGTTTCCGCAGTTGCAGAGCGAGGCTATCTGGAGCTGCGAGATGAGCGCGCCGGGACCGAGCTCCAGCATCAGGTCGGTGTCCGAAGCCTGGTTCACCTCCCAGGCGGCGGGTGTCAGGCCGAGTGTGCGGAAGCCGACGCCTTCCCTGCTGCTGCCGGAGGCGACGACGCCCTCCACCACTGCAGCGCCTGCCTCTGTGGAGCAGGCGCAGACATCGGGCGCCACCCTGAGCTCTCTGCCCACCAGGGGCTTCATGTGCACGAGCTCGTCCACCTGCCACAGGTGCCGCCACCTGTCGTCGGTGTGGCGCGCCCTCTGCAGCGACTCGTCCAGCCTCAGAGCGGCCTCCATCTCCGTCAGCGCCGTCTCACCGGACACCGACCACACAGATAGCTCAGCGCGGAGCTGGGCGCAGCTCAGACCGGGATACAGCCGGCTCACGAGCCCGGGCGGATCGCCGCACCACGCCAGAGCGACCATCTCGTCAAAACGCACCCGGTGGCCGCGCGGCAGCTCACCGCGAGCTGTGTCCGTGAAACGCTCCAGGGCGCCCGGGCTGAGCTGCGACAGCCTGGCCTCCATGTCGGTGAGGATCTTGAACATGTCGTCCGCGCCGCCTCCGCCGGCTCGCCTCCGGCTGATCACCATGCGCAGGAAGTCCTCCGGCATTCCAGCCAGCATGGCCCCGAACTCGCGGCCCAGCTGGGTGGCTCGATCAGTCGGCGCTGCCTCAGCCATGACGCAGATAAAACCAACACTGCACCACTCGCTCACACCTGCACAACACTGAGATTGTTGTCTAATTCAAGCTCCCAGGATATCACTTGCTTCGCCATCGGCCGTTTACACTGAACAGAGACCCTATACCCCAGTCCAGCCGCCGGAACCGGTCACTGGTCAGCCGAGCGCTGCTCACTGGGTGCTGCGGAGTGATGGGCGCAGCCAGCGAGGGTTAGGGTGGGGGACAAACAAGGTCGAATCAAACTATAGCATGGAACGAAAGAAGAGCTGATGACATATTTGAAGATATTTTTATTTCAGTTATTTTCTATTTACCAAATAATTTAACATTGGGTGGAGAAGGGTTGCAAAACCTCAGAGTTGACATAAACACGTTACGCCTCTGCGCTATCTCCAACGGACGGCTCTGCAGAGCTTTTGGAACACTAGCGCCTCTACAGGCGTACTATCTAAGCTCTAGTTGAGAAAAGTTACCACAGTTAACGCTGGGTTTTTCTCAGGCGGCACCAGGCATCTGGGATTGCTCAGTTTTACTCCTTTTTATCCTTACAGTTATAGCTGCTTTATCAATGAAAACAGAAAAGCAGACTATCAAATATCCATTAGATGGCTGACAGGACATTAATGGGAATAGTTCACTTTCACGAAATTAGTTTTTTTTTGCAATGGATTTATGATTTTTTATGCTCAAAATGATCAGCAAGGAAAATAAAACTTTTATAAAACAAATTATTTTCTATACTTTAGTATAGTACCTAAGAGCTATTCAGTTTTAAAAGAAGGAAATAACCCCTGCAAGGCACGCATTCCTCAGCAAGGCACCTTTTTCGGGACGAGATATGGAATAGCTTTGCTTAGTTGGGCCGTAAAAGCTGTGTGATCTGTGCTTGTCTGATTTTCATGCTTATTTTGCTGGCACGCTAAAAATGCGTCGTAAGATCAGGAGGCCAACACGCTGGCCAAGGAGTTCCCCAACACCTGTGTTATCTCCGCGGAGGCTGAGTAACCTGGATGTCTCAATGAATTCGGAGAAAATAGTACGCAACACCGTACCATTATTTAGCGTTCGGAGAAGGATAGGTCGTTCAAATGTCGAAAAAGTGGGCATATGGGGTGTTCATTGTTTTCTTATTTCGTGGTGTCAGGTTCATTGCCCATTTGTCAAGGCCTGGTTACACTACGTGTTTCTGCGTTCGTTTTTTTGCGAGTTTGCGTGTTTTACGTACCTTATATCGTCCTAAAAAAGTTATAATTAATATAACTTTCATAATAGGTACTAATAAAGTCTAACTACTTATCTAACTACTTAGTTAGATATAAAAGTTAATATAACTCTTATATGAACTAAAAGTTACTATAAAAACATATCACAGAAACGTAATATCGTTTTTGCTAGAACGATATTACGCAAAACACGCAAACTCTAAACTAAAAAACGCACGCACAGGAAGCATAGTGTAGCCAGGCCTTTAGTGTTTCATCGCATTTGTCCTATTCACCTGTGATGTTTTACTATTATATAATATACCTAATGTCATTCGGCATTATTGAACATGTTTAAATACAATCAACTCATTTTAGCTGCTTTTTGAACAAAATATCAGAACTCGGAATTAAGTTTCGTGAAAGTTTCAAGTAATTAACCCTCGCCGGACCTACTGGTTTTCTACATACGCGCCGGCCGAGGGGGGGGGGAGCGGGTACGACCCCCCTCGCCGTTTCGCCCCTGGTGGAGCTAGCGAGTCGCGAAAAAATGAGCGTGTGCGCCGTTACGAGACGCAGAGATTGGTACCCGAGTTTAAGGTCCTAGGTCAACCGGTGACCTCTGAGGTCAGGTCAAGTGCCCCAAGGTACGGTTCAGTTTTTGGTGAATAACTTCGCAAAAATCGGCCGCAGAGCGCCGATTTTGGCAGTATCGTGTTCGCCTCGCTCAGGCGCGTCGAATGATATACTTTTTGTTTGGGTCAGGTCAACTTAGGGTGTTGACCTCATGTCACGGTCAGGTCAGCACCCCCAGGTTACGAAGTTGGTCGAAAGAGGTCATGTCGCATATCATTCGATTCAGCTCGTCTTCCTGAGTCCATTGGTGGCTTTCGCGACTCGCTAGCTCAATTTGATCGGGAGTTATTGACGAAAAACTAATATGACCTTGATGACGTCATAGATGACGTCACGCAAGGTCAACATTGCAAAAGTGACGCATCTCACCTTGCAAGGAGTGCATCAAATCACGATTCTGTGTGCTTGAGATAGTTGGAGATCGCTCCCGGCGCCAGAATAGCAGCTTTCATTTTTCCCCATTGACTTATAATGGTGAGGTCACGAAAATGACCTGACCTCATATGAACTTTAGGAAAAATCCGAGATATACAAGTTGTGAGACTCGTAATGGATACTAGATCCTGCAAGTTTCATTTCCCTGTGAAAGCTCCTCTGGCAGTGAGGGCGTTGCGAAGTTGCGACATCTGAAGACCGTGCAGAGGTTCACTTATGACGTCATAGGTCAGTGACTTGACCTGACCTGAAAATGCAGTTGATGTCAAAAGATCCGGCTTCAATCAAAGGTCAGGTATGTCAAGTTTCAGCTCTCTATCGCCAGCGTGTTCGGAGCTATTGCGAAAAAAACTATGTTTTTTTCGCGGCCGGCACCCGCCCCGGCCGAGGGGGGTGCCGCCCCCGCCCTCGGCCGGCGAGGGTTAAACATTGTACCTATGTATCCAGTTACTATAAGAAAGATCCATTCGCCATACTACGGGTAAGCAGGAGCACGATTCCGTAGAACGCTACAAAACCAATAATTTCAAACCACTGCACTGAAAGCTGTTGACTTTATTTGCATTGGTTGGACAATGGACAGTGGACACTGCAGGTATAGGTAAAACTTTTTTGCACGACATGGTCTTTGATAAATGTAGCAATGGTCACACAGTCGAAGACAAGATGCTGTGCTGGGTTATAAGATATGTTAATGTTTTTCTAATCTCTTGTGATCTTCCGATTGATAGGTCAGTCATTTCCACATAAAAAGTGTTTCAGTCAGGTGCAAGAATTGGCGCCGTTGACGTTAACCTCCGTTGCCGAGGTTTGACGTCAATTGCCGAGGGTGACGTCAATGGCGTCGGCGTGGGGTTACATTAAAAGCTGAGGGTGACGTCGCAGTTGTCGGGGTGCTGCGCGCCCACCTGGTTGGCCTCCTGATGGACGCAGCTGATGACGCCCCTGTCGGCCCAGCACTGGACGAACTCCTCGGCAGTGAGCCGGTTGTAGCCGCCCGGGCCGGCCTTGGTCTGGGTGCGTATGCAGCCCTCCACCGCCTCTCGGAACTTGGCGCCCTCTCCGTAGGTGATGGCCAGCTTCACGGCCTGCAGATCGATCGTGCCGTCGGCGCCGATAAACTTCTGGAACAGGCACACGAGGCGAGCGATCTCAGCCTGGTACAGCTGGTGCGGCTCGTGGCCCGCGTAGAGGCCCTTTCCGCACTCCTGCAGCGTTCGCCCGGTGATGTGCTCCAGGACTCCTTTGAGCGTATTGGGGCTGAGCGGGCAGTATCCGGAGAGGAAGCGGGCCCTGCGCAGCGCTCCCTCCTCGTCCAGGGCCCCCCGCTGCTCCTGCTGGAGGTCACAATCGGCGAACAGGCTCCACTTGAGGCAGAGGTAGGTGTACACAGTCAGCTGGCGTGTCGTCAGGCCGTCAGAGGCGTACTCCAGGCACTTATGCACGATCCGCGTGGTCTTGGCGGTCCAGGCGGGGTCCCGCGAGTAGCGGTTGATGCCGGCCACCACGCGGGCAGTGTCGAGCACAGTAGCGTCAGCGTTCAGAATTCCGCGTCTGGGGAAATGGCACAGACTCGGTCACGAATAAATAATTTCACGCTCTCCAGTGTCATGATCAGTACCTACGAATTTCCTTTGACGGAAAGATAAATCCATGCAGATTTGCCCTTGAACGTATCCGCGCAATGGATATTAACCCGCGCATGACTGGGGTATTTTCAATAATGCGAGTGACTGAGGGGAGGGGGCTGCCTCCCTCCTATCTCTGAAACTACTTGGCCGACTGACAAACTTCAAACGGCGTCTGATGGCCCTGGAAAAACTGTCGAGCGAAACCTAATTTCATTGACTCGAGGTCACCGATGACGTCATAGTTCAGGTCAAAGTAAAAATTATCAATATTAGCCGTTTTCACGACGGCCATCTGGTACACATTTGGTGCACATCTGTTGCAGATTAGGTGCAGATTTGGTCAAACTAGGTTCAGTGTGTCTCTAAGTAGCTATCAGCTAGGGTTGTACTAATTGCTTATATGCCTGCATTGTTATATTATCAGAGAGCATCTTCGATTAAAACACTGAAATAAATTCATAAAATGAAGTTATTTGCTGTAAAGAGATTAGGTGCAGATTTGGTCAAATTAGGTGCATTCGCCGGCCAGCCCGTCGTGAAAACGGCTATTTTGACTTGTTAACACTTTAGGCTCTGGCCGCCGGTCCAAACGCTCGATCAGGTTCATTCTTGGTTTGTCCATTGGTTTATACATGCCTAAGATACCGTGAGGGTACCAAACCTGTATTCCATTTTTTTTCAGGTCAAGGCCAGGTCATCCTAGGTACCGGCATATATCTTCTAAGTCTACTTATGCAAAGAAATTGGATTTATCTTAAAAACTGAGCTCTTGAGAGCGATTTCCGTGGTTCAATGTTTTGCATCAAAATCGGCTGACATAACGTCACTATGACGTCATTTTCGGCCGACCGATAATATCTAGAAAGTTTTTATGTAGACACAAGGTGTCAAATTGGTGTCGCTGAAGGCTGGTACAGCAAGTTTCGTGTTGATACATCAAGCGGCTTAGAAGAGATTAGATAAAAACCGGAAGGGGCTCTGTAAAGACCCTACCCCTAGTCATGCGCGATTAATTTACCCGGCTTTTATTTTTCTGATATAGGTAAATTGAATAATCTTTTCATTATCGCTGATTGGTCAAATGCACCTCAAGAAGAATAAGAATGACAAAAAGCTGCAAGAAATGTTATCACAATGCCTAGTGTCCCATGAAAGTCGTCTGGTCTGACTGATAAAGAACACAGACCACTCCCGCTCCCCCCCCCCCCGCTACCACAGCAGTCGACAGGCCCTCCACAACCTGAGGACGCTGCTGTGTCCCTGAGGTCGCTCACTCTCTGGTCAGACAGTTGTAGAAGCTTCCCAGCGAGGAAGCGCCCGCACACTCGGGCGGCTGGACCGGGGCGGTGGCTCTGGCCTCGCAGGCGCTCGCCAGCTGGCTGATGGTTGAGTTGTCAAAGTCGGCCGGCAGACAGAAGCGCGCTCCCAGCACGTCGAACGTCTGCTGGAACAGGTTGGCATCGAACACCGTCCCCGAGCCTGACGGTCGGACGGACGCCGCGGGGTTACAGTGGGTCGGGGCTTCTGACAGTGCAGTGGTCTGCAGGTCACAGAGTACCAGTGGGCTCGAGTCGCTGAGGGCTCACTGTTCTGGAGTCACACAGTGCTCAGTGGGCAGGAGTTACAGAGCGAAAACATGCCGGAATGGAACAGGCCACCCAGCAGCCCCACTACCGGTCACCCCAATGCACGTAACCCTGTGGCCTGTTCGTTTATAAGGTTATACGTGAATGTGGCATGAATGAAGGCATGAAGCATGAACCTAGCGTGAAGGTGGCCGTCCAGCCTGGCTCACCGGGCTAGAGGCTTAGAGGAGAAGGATTTGACTCTCCTGAGGATGAAAAATAGTATTATTTAATTAATTAATTTTGGTCAATCTTCTTCGGGCATAGTTCATGTTGATTTAAGGTGTCATGTCAGTACACTCAAGTTCAAATGAATACGTAACCCATATACATATTTCCTAACTAGCGAAAAGACGTGCCATTTGGCTATCGCCTATCCGTAACTGTTGCACACAATTCTACCTTTCAAAGCCGAAACTCACCGTAAGCAATCTGAAGCAGCAGTGCTGCGAGAGGGACCCCGAGGACTAGTCTGCTCGGTGGTGTCATGCTGCCGCTACTGTCACTGTCAGTCAAGTGTCAACGACGAAAGTAGATACTGCTCTGGGCCGTGGCTGAGGCGTGCGGCTTTTATTCTCCAGTTGTCTCTTTTCCTCTCTTCTATCGGTTACCAGGTGCGGATTAGCACCTGACTTGCAGATTGTTGATTACTGTTACTTGGTGAGTAAGAGGATGCGATAACGGAGACATTTCTTAGCATTGTTTCTAGATATATCTTGTTAAGTAGGGTCCAGAGGGTGCATTTCCTCCCATGATCACGAAGAAATATAACCCTCGCCGGATCTATGCATTGGTTTTCTACATAGCGTCAAGGGCGGATCTAGGGGAACGTTTGGGGGGGGGGGGTCACAAGTCGGCCGACATGCCGGGTCTGAATGATGAATTCTGACGACCGGGGGGGGGGGGGGGAGTAGGGAGCGAGTATGTCTAGATCAAATGACATTTGATCTTCGTCGTTTCTAAGATGAAGTTTTATCGTTGTAAGTCACTCGGCTAAGTAGTTTTAGTTAGTGAAGGCCACAGGGGAGTCGCCACGGATTTTTTACTGGGGGAAGGATCGACCAACTTAAAAACCCAGAAGTAGATAGGTATAGTTATCTCACTTTTAGCCTAATGCATTCTCAGCTCAAGCTACGGAACTGCTATTCCAGTTCAAAACCCCATGTTAAAAAGTGAACTATTTCTGAACGTCTCTGAACATACCATCGCGCAAACGCCCATTCAGATTCTCTCGATGCCGCCTCCGAATGGCGCAAATGGTGCCTGTCCGTCTAAATATCAGGAAAAGGAAAAGGGTTTTGCTCGCTGAATAGCTGCCACTTCCATGAAGGCCGATTTGGGTGATTTCGCCTATTTCTTAGTGTCGCGGCTGAAACCGATAACATACCTTAAAACCATGAGTGGATGTCTAATGTAAATTACATGAGATGATAATTACGTATAATTTCATGTAAAAAGTATGAATCAGACATCTGCAAAGGCTCTTGAATCAGAACCGAATTGATTGCAAATGCGGATGCGTTCCAACCCCTTCAGCATTTGAACGGGTTGCTGAACCATTCATGAAAAAACTTATGCGAATTGATTATAATCGGACATTTCATTTGAGAAATCGCCGTCCGGTAGGTAGGCTGTGCCGCAAGACAGTCGTGCCGTGCGGGACAGTCGATCAACTACCATGCCTTTAGCTCTGAGATTCAGTGCCAGTCGTGCCTCTAGTCTCCCTTGACGCCTATAGTCTCCCTTGACACTGAGCTGATTTTCTTCGTGCATGGATTTGTGTCTCGATGTTCTGCAGATTCTAGGTTGATTATATTTGGTTTCACCAAAGTCGAGTGCGATCAAACGGTCATCGTTTCCCTTTCCCATTCTGAAATACGTTCACATATGACATATTTTGCGTCTTTTTCTATTTTCATTGCCCTTCAGCCCACCACATTCCCAGCACCAAACAGACAGCCCGTATCCCGTACCGAGATGTGTATTGATGGCAATCACCGAGTCAGCGGCGGTTGGAGCTCGTGCGGGGTCCTGGGGCGCCCGGGCGCTGCCCAGGCTGCCTCTCCGGTGACCGGACGGGCCGGGCCGGGGCGCAGAACGGTGGCTGGGTCCCGCCGCGCGCTGGCCCCGCCCACCCGGGTGACCTGACCTCACACGTGACCGACAGACCGGTGTTACACGGGCCGCACGCCACGCCCGCCCGTTGGCGCATGAGTATGAATTTCGGTGTGTTTCCGGCACTGGATGAGCTGAGAGCCGGGATAGGGTCGCCGCGGTGACACGGAGCCGGCCTGTGACGTCACTGGGTCGATTTGATGACGTCAGTGGATCGGCCGCCGCGGCGCCCGCGACGAGAAGGCAGTAGCAGGAGTTACGTTGAAGTTGACATGGAGACACGGTTGAGCGACAATGGTACACAGACTTGAAGCATACGCTGCGAAAGAAGAGCTCCTGTCATTTTCTGTTCTGCGTGCATCGGTAGCAATATGCGTGTTTGGCTAAAATGAGCGAGGAGTAGCGAGCGACTTCTATCAGAGCATTGTTACGAGGTTTACCGTATCGTTCAAAAATGAAAACAAAACTGCATTTTAGTTAATTTAGAATGGAAATGTTCAATGAATTGAAATGCACATATTGTGCCTATATATTTTAATGACAATTTTCGTTATCATTCCTGAAGGTAGTAGTAAGTAAGTAGGATGTGAGTAGGATGAGCTCAGAAATACATTTTCACGTACTATTTGAAAAACTCCGAAATAAAAATGAAGTGCGTGAGTGATGTGGGCGCTAGTGCCAACGGTGCCAACTACCTGGGTTGAATTTATTCCTCTTCTTCCTCTTCCTCCTCCTCTTCTTCCTCTTCTTCTTCCTCCTCTTCTTCCTCCTCTTCCTCCTCTTCTTCCTCTTCCTGCAATTCCACACAAGAAGGTACTGTGAAGAGTCTTCCAACACAAAAGAATCCGGGAAGACACTGATGCAGATAACATTGGATATCAGAAAGATATGATGTTCGAATTTAGGATATTTGGTAATGTTGCTACAGCTAGTGGCACCTAGCAACGTCTTCAAAGGTTGACAACGAAAGCACATTGATCAAATGCACCAGTTTTCACTCGATATAAATATCTGTCAGCTTATCAGGACTGAAACGAGTAATGAAATTAACTACACATATAATGGCCAGCATTGCAGTAGGTAAAGATGCTAAGGTGAAATTAAGTTGAGGTAAAGATGAACTTTAGCTCGATTAGTGTGAAATGAACGAGCGTTAACGAGTCCCGGAAAGAGATAAAAAATAATAAAACAGAAGACAGAGCAGATCAAAGCAAAGAAAACGGTCGCATCACGTATAAATAAAATATAACCAACCAACGTAGCTGACCGGCATGTAGTTCTCAAGCATTAGTTGAACGTGTCACCAATGATATAAGCACAATCAAACCCACGACCGGGTGATATGGCCGAATGTTTCGGACAGTGCTGCACCGTAAATATTAGTGGAAGTTGCTCTAACTTTTAACATGTTCTGATAACTCATCGTTAGAAGATCAAAGCAGAAGTGATTAGCATGTGCTGGTAGTATTTAAGCGTCAGTTATGAGTGATTGAACCAGACTTACGGCCGGTGCTTCGAGCTGAAAGAAAAACAATGGAGCATTGTCAATCATATGCATTTTCTCTAGATGACTACAAAGGTGGGCTAGCTATCACGGACGTCTATTTACCAAAATCTAACAAGGTGGATGCAAAACGATTTCTAGCATTGATACAATAGGATCTATGTAATAATCCCTTCTTTCTTATATGTGCACAAGCAACTGGGGCAAAAAGGAAACGTTTTACTGTGCTACAACAAAACAACGATGTTCTGGATTCCAAACATAAACTAAAGCACCTACACCACCAGTAATGAACACCTTTCGGTTCTCTCTCTCTCTCTCTCTCCCTCTCTCTCTCTCTCTCTCTCTCTCTCTCTCTCTCTCTCTCTCTCTCTCTCTCTCTCTCTCTCTATTTCCTCTCTCTCCCCCTCTCTTTCTATCTATTTATCTATCTATCTATCTCTCTATCTATCTATCTTTTTCTCTCTCTTTCTCTCTTCATACGCGATCCATCGTCATGCACCCGCCCCTCCGACCCGCCCCTTGTGATTGAGTGACTGACTGACTAACTGACTGACTGACTGACTGACTGAGCGACTGCTCACCTCCTCCGGCTCGTCGGCCGGCGGCGCCATTTCCTCCTCCTTCTCCTCCTCCTCAGGAGTTTCAGGATCGTCGGTCTTCTTACCGGGCCGCTCGCCGAACCACTTTGGCAGCCGCGCTGGGCCACAGGGCACACAGGTCACACACCGGGCGTGGCCAGCCGGCCCCATCAGTCCGATATTCCTTTGTGATAGTCTGGTGCAATTATTTACCACCATTTTGACATTCAAGAGGTCTTAGAGGGTCTTCGTGTTGGTGTAAAAACGCCGTTACAGCATTTTTTTTTTCATTTGGACCGGCCGCCAGTGCCGCGGGGATTAGATTAATTGTAACATTTAACGAAGGACAGATCCAGAAATCAACCGAGATACAATGATTGTCGTCTTTGTTATCTTTTTCTAACGGTATGATGTCGTGGAAGGCGTGATTGCCGAAATTTAAACTGACAGCAGTTTTGCCTGTCTGGATCTGTCCTTCGTTTCAACGTTTCAACGATGAGAGTGAAACACTGCACCTGCATGTGCTGATAAGCAGTAAAAACCATGCCAGCTGCATGCACCACCGGCCTCACGAATGTTTCAACATAGTCGGAGACAATAATACAAAGCCATATAAATAACGAATGTATATGTCATGCTCTGTGCTGTATGCACAATTGCATAGCCCATCGGAGCTCCCGCGGCTTCCGGCTCGCTGTTGGTAGCTTACTCTTTGCCCGATCACCGAAGTCCTTCAATCGGACGGTCCATATTTTGTCCTGTTCTTCCTTCTCCTTAGCTTCAAAGCCCTGTCAATCACATACAGCCCTCTACATTACTACGGAGCTACCGTAAAATAAACATGCGGTGAACGAAATAAAGTTAGCTGATGTCTCGTCGTTTTCTTTGGGGATGTAGGGAGGGAAGGACGTGCCATTCAATGGCCCATGCAGATAACCATTCCGCACAAATAGGATCGTCTTCTGCTCTAGATAACCGGGTACTATATGGTTAACGTAGTCATGTAGACCGTTTCTTTCTTCATTGTAAATGTTTTTTTTTCATGGAAATAAGACGTCAGTTGTAAATAATAAATGGGACCAATGGGGCGAAGAGAAGTTTTCTTTTTCAATGAGGAAAGAAACACGTCCCATGTGATGATGGCTGCATTCTGTGACGATCTATATCACGAGGCCGGGTGGGGGCGGGGGCGGCTACCGCTACAGTGTTGTCCACCTATGGGCGACCGGTCCGGCCGCGGCCTCATGCGGTGGCGGCCCGCCGGACCGGTCCGACAGAGGACACTCACTCTTGGGACGCTTGCCCCATTCGTCAGCCTTTTCCTCCCAGAGCTTATCGTTCTGCTCGGAGAACAACACAGTCCAGCCCTGTCGACACGTTGCTAGTGTCATCCGCCCGTCAGTCCGGTCGCGGAACCGATTGCAAAGCGTCTCAAGAAATCCACGGCAATTTTAGACAGGTGTTAGACACATCAGGCCTTCGCAAAGAGCGCGGTGTTTTTAGAGACTTGAAGCATATGCGTGTTTGTCAAGCAAAATCAGTCAATGTGCATAGATATGCGCCATCTTGATCAAACCCTTATCGCTGGAGCAAACCTTGGATTCGATAAATATAACATTTTGGAGTTGTATCATGAAAATATTCGAGGAATGTATTCATTAGTGTGAAGGTATAGGTACTAATAAAATCGATTTACTTAGTCCGTGCATTTACTTATGGTATAGGTACGTTTCTTTATGCTTAAATGTCTTCTATACCTATGTGTTAGTGATACTATGAATATATGAAATAAAACATGACAGTCACAGTGCTTAAGCAGTGATATCATGCAGTCACATCTAAGCTTTACACCGAAAACCAAGCGACTGGACATCAGATTACAAGTGGTTAGTTCATACATGTCACAAAAAAGACGCAAAGTCTCGACGAGGACCACGGCGCACAGAGTCAAGTGTACGCATATATCATATTTAGAAAGCTGACCTCAAAAATGTTACTTTAATAAAAACAGTTTCAAGCAATCGTAAGTAATGGATTTAATTATGAGCTTTTCTAGGTGTACTTGTATATGTTTTAGGCACAATAAAATTGACACATTGAACAGCATTAACAACATAATTGCTTTCAAGCAAAGCAAACCTCGAGGGAAGTGCATGCTAGTTTCCACATGATTATCTGTACCAAAACTGCTTATTAAATACCACTAATAAATGTAACGCAGTAAATAAATATAACAAGGAAACCGTTCGTAGTATAGAAATAAAGCTGTTTGCAAATGTCGAACATTTAGTGTCCGATAAATATGCCGTAAGCATATTGGATAGAGATGCACGAGCCTGGCGCCAACTTACGCCGTTGAAGAGGTTCATCTTATCGCCATACGAGCGATGGTCGATGGTCCTCTCAAACTTGGACGCCACTCGGATCTTGGGCTAGAACACAGCACCACACTGCCAGTCAGCATGCTGGCCTGACGACCCCTAACGACTACCTACCCTGGAACGATAGACTCCCGCCGACTACCGGGCGCGATAGACTCCTAGCTACCACCCGGACTACTGACTGCTCCTCCCTGCGATCCGTGCGGCTCTGAACTGCGGACTACGCTCACGACCCGCTGCCTACGACTCCTGCAAAGGGTGTACGGCTACTCCAGCACAAACTCCTTCCGGTAACTCCACTCACACCATCGAACAGATGGGTTTTCTCGGAGAATGTGCGCCTATCAACCTGCCGCTCAAACTTGGACGCCAAACGCACTTTGGGCTGAAACGTCCACGAACACGTGTCTCTAAACAATGTCGGAATGTATGGAATGGTTTAAATGAATTGTCTCTCTATATTAGTTTACCTTCATCAATGTAAGCAAGATATAACGTGTTAAAGATAAGTAAAGTACACGATTGATGAAATACTAGGACTTACTCCACAAGGAGATCGAATGGGTCGGAGCGCTTTCAATATGTATTATACATATCGTCGTCAGCGAATCAATAACGGGTCGAATCGAGTCGGGTATCGAAGAGGTTCGGGAGCTGCGCGGCAGAGCGATCACATACTATTCGAATTATGCATTAAAGAGAATAAAAAACACGTGAGAACAATCATGATACACTAGCTGCTAAAATGAATTAAAATGGGGTGCTAAAATGCATAAATGGCACGTATAAAAGTACAATAAGGGGGGGGGGGAACAGGATACCTATGGTGATAAAGACTGAGTAGAAAAGGGAACAAAGACTATACAAAACTGAGTGCAAAAACTGTAAAAGGACGAGTACAAATATAAATACATACAAAGGCCGAACTAGACGTAAACACTACTGACAAAAACGGCGGATTATCGGCAGCCAGCGGTCATGCAGCAGGGCACCCGAGTTCCTGTTCACGTTTGCGTCATTCGGCGACACCAGGACGGCTTCACGCCGACCAACAGTCCGAATATAGGCCGATTCCAGGAGAAGTCGCATCTGGTGATGACTGGCTCGATTCAAGATCTTGATGGCATCGAAAGCAGGTGAGCAGTCTCTATGGGTACTGAAGGCCGATGTATTGGCTCTCGAGCGGACTGCTCCAGTCCAGCTCTCCCGGTGTTCTCGGAGTCTCGTGCCCAGCTCACGATCTGTCTCGCCGATATAGACCATTGGGTCACCGTCCACTTGGCAGGAGCACTCGATCCGATAGATGACGTTGCTCTGTTGTAGCTTAGGCAGTTGGTGCTTAGCCTTGCTGCAGAGCAGCGAGCCGATGGTGACTGAAGGCTTGGAGACGAGCTGGATCCCGATCTTGCTGGCCTCCCGTTTGAGTTGGTAGAACAGGGGGCCGGCAAACGGAACAGAGACTCGGACAGGCGCCGGGTGTGAGTTCGCGCTAGGTGGCGCTGGTAGGGCCCTTGCCTTCAGTCTGAGATCGGTCCGAGTCTTCTGAATGGCCGAGTCGATGAATGATCGTGGGTAGCCATGATGATGAAACTTCTGGCGGATGAAGTCAAGCTCCTGCTGGCGGTCTCTCATGGACGAACAGTATCGGATCGCTCGAGTGCAGTCAGATCGAATGGCCGCTCTCAGGTAGCGGGTCTCGGTGTAGGAGCTGAAGGCAGGCACTTGGTTGGTGTTGCAGGACTTCCTGTAGACCTTGGTGCAGAACTTGTCGTCTCTTCTAGTGATGCAGATGTCAAGATACGGTATCTTGATACCGTATCTTGACATCTGCATCACTAGAAGAGACGACAAGTTCTGCACCAAGGTCTACAGGAAGTCCTGCAACACCAACCAAGTGCCTGCCTTCAGCTCCTACACCGAGACCCGCTACCTGAGAGCGGCCATTCGATCTGACTGCACTCGAGCGATCCGATACTGTTCGTCCATGAGAGACCGCCAGCAGGAGCTTGACTTCATCCGCCAGAAGTTTCATCATCATGGCTACCCACGATCATTCATCGACTCGGCCATTCAGAAGACTCGGACCGATCTCAGACTGAAGGCAAGGGCCCTACCAGCGCCACCTAGCGCGAACTCACACCCGGCGCCTGTCCGAGTCTCTGTTCCGTTTGCCGGCCCCCTGTTCTACCAACTCAAACGGGAGGCCAGCAAGATCGGGATCCAGCTCGTCTCCAAGCCTTCAGTCACCATCGGCTCGCTGCTCTGCAGCAAGGCTAAGCACCAACTGCCTAAGCTACAACAGAGCAACGTCATCTATCGGATCGAGTGCTCCTGCCAAGTGGACGGTGACCCAATGGTCTATATCGGCGAGACAGATCGTGAGCTGGGCACGAGACTCCGAGAACACCGGGAGAGCTGGACTGGAGCAGTCCGCTCGAGAGCCAATACATCGGCCTTCAGTACCCATAGAGACTGCTCACCTGCTTTCGATGCCATCAAGATCTTGAATCGAGCCAGTCATCACCAGATGCGACTTCTCCTGGAATCGGCCTATATTCGGACTGTTGGTCGGCGTGAAGCCGTCCTGGTGTCGCCGAATGACGCAAACGTGAACAGGAACTCGGGTGCCCTGCTGCATGACCGCTGGCTGCCGATAATCCGCCGTTTTTGTCAGTAGTGTTTACGTCTAGTTCGGCCTTTGTATGTATTTATATTTGTACTCGTCCTTTTACAGTTTTTGCACTCAGTTTTGTATAGTCTTTGTTCCCTTTTCTACTCAGTCTTTATCACCATAGGTATCCTGTTCCCCCCCCCCTTATTGTACTTTTATACGTGCCATTTATGCATTTTAGCACCCCATTTTAATTCATTTTAGCAGCTAGTGTATCATGATTGTTCTCACGTGTTTTTTATTCTCTTTAATGCATAATTCGAATAGTATGTGATCGCTCTGCCGCGCAGCTCCCGAACCTCTTCGATACCCGACTCGATTCGACCCGTTATTGATTCGCTGACGACGATATGTATAATACATATTGAAAGCGCTCCGACCCATTCGATCTCCTTGTGGAGTAAGTCCTAGTATTTCATCAATTTAATTCCATCTCCACATCATGTCATTACGTTAAAGTACACGACATGGCACCCTGATCGGATTATTTACACATTTTAAAAATTCAATAATCTAAAATAGTTTTGTTGGGCTAATCCTACTCGAATTGATACCCATGGCCCGACATATTTAAAACAGCAAAGATGATTTATCCAGTGGCAATATTAAAATGATAGGCTTAGAATAATAGGAATGATAGGCTAACTCGAGGTCTATGATCTTAGTTATGCCGGGCAATCACGCCCACAAATATAATTCCTGGAAAACAGCTGATATTTAAATACGTCAAACACATAGGAAAAGTGAAAATAACTTACCGGGTGCTTGCCGGTCAGGGCCCTGCGAAAATGTTCGATGTGTCAGTAACCATTTCCAAAACAAATCGGCGTGGTAGATTCGAGCACGCATTACACCGTACTTTTGCATATTGAGTGGACGGCTTTGTACATTCTTTATTTGTTTAAAACATTCATAAATAATTATAAAATCGTCCAAAGATGCACTAGCTCGATATTTGAGCTATATTTCGAACAGGAACCCTCTATATCTGAAATCCTATGAATTTTAACCATGTGTAGCAAAGAACGTTTATAATACGAAGAAGTCTTTTGCGAAGTAGACGCTGAACACAATTGATTGATGAGTTCAAATTGTGCCGATGGCGCACAGAGTACGGGTACTCACTGGAGGCCGGCAGAACCATGTGCCCACCTCTAAGACGCACGGAGGACGAGTGTGCTCCCACTGGCTGTCTTGTCACAGCTAGGGATGGACGAGACGGTCAGGGTGGGTTAGGCGGACGGCCCTTCCCAGATGCAAAACACCATGCACTAACGCTATATAAGAATGGACTGCACGGGGAGGTAGGTACACTTAGTTGCATTCCGACTCACTGGACAGAGGTTACGGCACCGTACTAACGCTAAGACGGGGAGACAAACCACTATGATAACTCTACAGTTACACTGATGTGAGCAGCTGCGTTTCTTATAGTCAGTCAACTATACCACATGCCTCCCGTTGCGGTTTTGTGGTGTCAATGGGCTTCTCTACTATCCAACAAATCAGCTGGCAACTTTCTGGCTTTGTAGCTCACTAAAGATCTGCAAGGGTAGCATGCCTTCAGACTGATTATTTTGTGAGCACATTATTCTTTCGAATATTAGAAAATAAAAGATGGAGTGAGAAACAGCCGGTTCCAAGGACAAACGAGACCAAGGACAAATCAATCGTCCAAAAGAAATAAAACTGGCGTAAACTAAAAACAAAATTTCAGTAGCTAGGCGCAGCCGACCCCACTGCATGTCAAGGGTGATGAGAATCGTGCCAACCAAAATGAACTGAATTTAAAAGGGTGTCTACTGGTCTAGTTACTCCGGCTGTGACGCAGAACCAATGCGCGCCGATCGGCCGAGAGGACTTACTCGGGATCGAGCCCCTTCTTAAGGGCTTTGTGTCGCAGCTGCTGCTTTTGTCGCTCTTTGAGCTCTTTAAGCTACAGAACAGAAACACTGCAATAGTGTCTACCGCTTGGCACACGACAGTCTAGCGCAGACAGCCTAGCATACATGGTGGCCGCGCCTACGAAGGCGCCGGCCCTGTTCCCGCGGCCCCAGCGCGACCACGGCCACATTCGGTGGATTGCCGAGCCCCCCCCGGTAGCACACCGCAGTCTCCTGTCAGAGACGCAGTGGGAGCGGGTGCGACACCTCCCACTGTTTCACAAGCTAACACTGAAGACAACCGGAGGCGGCCGGGGGCGGCGCAGGCTTCCGCGCGGCTGCTCTGCCCGGAAATTTGGTCTGGTCTGATAGCAGTGCTGCTCGCATCTGGTCTGACTGACTGCTCTGGCCGCCAGCGTGACCAACGGGGCGCTCAAGTGCACCCAACATGCACCAGCAATTTTCAAGTTTTATAGACATGTGTACCGAAATCCACTTCTAAATCAGCATTAACTATTTTGGTCTAATGTCACACAAAACACACACTGAATACTGAAAGCACGACTGGTCGGCTCGGCGAAATACACGATTGCTCTACATGTGTGTCACTCCGGGTACGGGAGCAGCGTAGCTGAAGCCTGGGCATTTCCCCCGAACCGCTCTACCGTCTAGACGCCAAGCGCGCGTGCGATATAGATCATATGGGCTGCTTACTCAGGATCCAAACCCAATTTAATGGCTTTCTGTTTGTTCTGTTGTCTCTGCCTCTCTTTGAGCTCTTTCAGCTGCAATGATTCAGGTAGAGCTAAAATGTTATTTGAGAAGATTTAAATAAACGTAAGTGAACAGCACAATGTGTTGAGACGAATGATTGTTCGTGTAGAATATGAAACAATCATTGAAATGTGAATTTTATTGATTTTTCAAAACTAAGCTTGAATGGTCAATTTTATGGGAAGAACAGATTTACGGATGAAAGCTACTGTAGTTGCAATGTACACGTGTGCTTGGCGTTCTGTAAAGTAATACGCTACATTTAATGAAAATGTAATGCGAAATTATGTGGTTTGCGAATGTACCCACCTGAGGGAACCCTTAGAAACACCCAGCCTTGTAAATGTAAACAAGAGACAGCATGACACGACATTCATACACTCACATTTCCATTTGGCCGCCTAACTAGCATCGGTTACGCTGATAGAAAGATGCATATCAGTAGGACGAGCTGGATATATGTGTCTAGATCATTGCCCTTTATAAAATAAACGGCAAGATAGCCCCAGAGCGCTGACACAATGAAGCTTTTATCGGCAAAGGACCCATTGAAAAAGCGATTGGAATGTAATTTTCTATCAATGATCATTATTTGAATATCCCAATGAACGTCAAACCCATATAGAGCAGTGAGCTCTGTGTCATCTCCGCCGGCGGCTATACGTACGTCGTAGTCCTGCCTCTTCTGGCGCTCCTCCAGGTCGTACTTCTCCGTCTCCAGCTTCACGATCTGGTTCCACATGTCCTCCGCCTTCTTCTTCAGCGCCTCGAGACCGAGACCCTTCACGGAAATCAGATACGACGAGTCAGTGAACCAGCATTCCCATCTTGGGCGGTGTTAAAATGTCATGTAGGTAAATCAATAAAGAGTGCGATGTGGAGCACTTACATCGACTTTGAGAGGCTGGATGCGGATGCTGAGAGCAATCTTCTTCTCCTCTGCCAGCTGCTCCTTGGTCTTGCTGATCTCGTTCTTGGCAGCCTGGATGTTGGACAGCTGAAAACACGAGATGATTCGTGACGGATCGTTGTTTGTGATTTATTTATCACACACATAACAAATTGTGGTTGGAAAGCTACTATGCAACTGACGCCAAAGTAAGCAAAGGCAGAGCTCCGACAAAGCAAGAACAGCCGACTTGTTGATTTTTGTGCGTCTGAATGTCGACAAAATAATGATGCGGTTCCCCTTGCATTTCACATTCCTATTCACACAGCCTGGGTTATCCCGTCAATACGCCAAGTTCTGCCACCAGTCCGTGGCCTGTTAACTCACCTTGTCGTCCTTCTTGCCGACCTTGAAGTTGGCCTTTCCTCCTGCGGCGGCCTTTTGCGCCTGGGCCAGCGCCTGCCTCTTCTTCTCGGCCTCCTCCAGCCGGCGCTTCTTCTCCTCCTGCTCGCGCTGTTTCTTCTCCTGCTCCTCGCGGTAGCGGCGCTCATCCTCGGCCTTCTTGGCCTCGGCCAGACGCTTCTCCTCCTCGGCGCGCAGGACCTGGCGACGTCCGTACACAATGGCGTGTTACACGTCTAGGAGTGCATGTAACTACTGGTGGTGGCACGGCAATGCTGCTTACATCACAATGTGAGCTTGATAATGCCATACGCCTTGTGTTTATAAATTGCGCTTTAGGAAATCAATCGCATGGGATCGAGTCATATCCGTTATCAATGAAGCGAACAACCGTTCTTCGGCACATTAAATCGTGTCACTAGTCGCTACATGATGATGAAGAGTGAAGACTCACACCATCGCAGCGACCAGGCTCACCTTGCGCTTGGCCTGCTTCTCCTTGAGCTTGTTGAGCTCCTCCTCCTCCTTGGCCCTCTGTTTGCGCCATTCCGCGATGTACTCCTTCAGCTGCTCGTCGAGCTCTGTGTTCTTCTTCTCCTGCCGCTGCTGCAAGGTCAAACGGTGGATTATGTCAGCAGGGTGGCCCGGGCGTCAGTCGAACTAAACTATTAGATGTGCCTTGATAGCTAAAAATAGTGAGAGCGTTGTAGGTTTAAGGACATTCAATAATAATGCCAGTAAAGCGGTGATTTTATGCAGTGTATGGGTCATTATGCTTACCGTGAAAATGTTCTCCTTCTTCTCTTCCTGCCTGAAAGTGAAACATGAACGGTAAAATTGGAAAACTTAACGCTGAGTAGTCATGCAATGTATTCACACAACGTTAAAACGTATCAATTGTATTCACCGTACCCTTATATGAGCGAAGAAAATTGGAGATGATTTTATAAATTGTGCATACTGATGTATGAAATGGAGCTTAGCGTGTTCTCATTGTGACATTATTGTACATATGTGTCTCAAAAGCCAATATCGAATCCAAACGCGCCAAAAATTGCCAAAAGTAGGGAATTTGCAACTATGTACCAATCACGCTGGGCGTCTAACTGATGAAATACCGAAAAGAGACGAGAGTGTCTCATGAATTGTGACCTAGGTGAAATTAGTGCCAGATCAAACAGCGGAAGAATCATAGGACAGCCATTGGCAAAGCAAGGCAGCAACCGCACTGCGTTAACAAGAACAATCGGAGCTTTTTAATAGGCGAACGCACTGGCGGATCCGACCGGTAGATTATAAAGCATACATCCGGCAAAGTTGCGTCATGCACTACAATGGACGCATTTTTGAAAAGCAGCAGTTTTGGAAGAGGCAAAATCCGTACCTTCTGGATCCGCCAATGGGCGAAACACCCCACGCACTGTGTTATTAATTCCATATAACAAAGTAATATAATACGTTTACATACATATGCATATTTGGGCAGACAATTCAACGCACACCGAACGACCATAAATCAAATATAGCTGAATGCAGTGTATGTACGTGTAAATAAAATACATTCTGCCTCATACTCGAAAAGTGGTTGCGATTAATTAAGATGTAGTTTCGATGAGAACAAAACTGTGTCAGTTTTAAAACAGAAAAACGCCACACAGAGAGTCAGCTGTATGTAACTCGAGAAGCAGCTGAGGCTAACTTACTTTTGCGCCGGTGCCCTGCGAATAGATGGGGTGGACGTCACTACTTGGACACTCTATAGGGAGGGCGAGCTATTCTGATGCTATTCAATGGGTCTCTAACGGTGTCTGGCCTAAGTTCTAAGGTGCAAGCAGTAGCGCCTCTCGTGTTAGTTCAGTCTAAGCAGCTTTCAAATTCTATCACAAAACTGGTGATCACTAGAAATATGATGAAGCAGTTGGGTGCATTGAAATAGGCGCATTTTAATGAACTAATCAGACATCTGGACAGAAAGCTAAGTAAGTGATAAGCTCAGCATTCTCTAAAGAAAACTTTGCATGTTGAAAAGTTACAGGAAGTGGTATATGGGCAAATTTCGCTAGGCTGGCGTCACTTTTTAGTCATAGTACGTAAGCGCTTTTTCGCATTTACGCCAATTTTTCAATATTGCAATCATCGTGGGTATTTTGAGAGCGTGTTTTTGTTCGTCTATTTCGCATGCAATTATATGCAGATTTCGTTGAAATTGCGGCTTTGGCTCTACTTACATCGTCAAGGCGCTATATTGTTTATCTAGTGTCTGTCCTTTGAAAACTGTGTTATTTCTGTTGGGTGATCTGAAGGTGTATGGGAAGTTGGAAACTTATTATGATTTATTTATTAGGTGATTAAACGGTCTAATATTACTTTAAACTATTTAAGCTATGTCAGCGTTTAATGTGTTGCCTGATTTCTTGCGCAATATTTTTGTGTGTGACTTAAAACATCTCACATTTCCTCAAAGCATATATCCAAAAATGATACATTTTTGGACTGATTTATCGTTAAATGCATGAGCATGTTTTTTATGAATTTCACTACGCGTCATGTGACGACATTAGAAGCAGCTAGCGCTACCGCGGTTGACGGAGGTGCAGTGCGGGACTAGCACGCGGACGCATTCTCTAAGTATGCTGACTGCTGGAGTATACTTACTCTTCTTCCTTGGCCTCTGGGACCTCCTCCTCCTCCTCCTCGCTGCTAAATATACGGGCAAACACAGCGCGGGGTCAGTCCAACTCTGTCTCGAGAGATGTCAGAGGGCCAATCAGCCACCAGAGTCACTGACATCTACGGGGTGGAGGTGGGATGGAGAAGTAGGAAAAGGAGTGTTGATGTCACAAATATGGATACCTTTATTTCTGTGGCTTGTTTTGAGAGGTGACAGACAAGGGTTTTCTATTGTGATTTTTCAAAAACTTGTACTTAAGTCATATCTAATGAAGCTTGTGCAGTAAGGTGGTGTCGAGGTTTGAAACTGCTTCAAAAGGTTTAAGATGATAAGAATAATTAAATTAAGGATTCAACAGTAGGACTTCTCTTTATAAATAATTTACGGGACGACATCGAGGAAGGGCTCTGGTACTGAGGGCCAGTACGGTCGTGGGAAGGTACTACTACAGCTCCCCTAGCTGAGGGGTGCTGGCCATCCTCCACTGCAAGAAATCAATCCAATCTGCTGCACACTGCCATGGATAAGCTACGCTAGGATCGCGCCCGTGGCCGGGCCTCCCATCGACTGCACTGTCGGGTCGGGCGCGATGTCAGCGGCCACCTACAGTGACCTACAGTGCGTCCGGTGGCAATCAATCTACAGTGACCTACAGGGCCACAGGCACGGTCTCGGCGGAGGGCCGCGGACGGTTACCCGCTGAGGGCCGCCCACGGTAGATTTACACCCGGCTGACTCTCCGGAGGGGAGTTACACCCCCTCTGGAGTGGATACTTACACCTCCTCCTCAGATCTGAAACAGACGGGGACGAAACGGCGGTGAAATACGTGCAAGCGTATTATTCTTCTCAAAGTGAGGAACAAAATTAGATTCTGAAAGCACAGGTGGACAATAGCATAGCAGGATTTTCTAAACCTTGAAATGTGAACTACATGAGACGGTTACTTTCACGGGTTATTTCCACGAGAGAGTGCTTGAGAAAAAGAGCCATTTAATTAGTTGATGCCAACAAGAGCCACCATAAATATCGCGTTAGAATATACACGCGGTTATAAGTAGGTAAAAGCAAAAGGTCGTTGATACTTACGAGTATTCTTCGTCCGACATTTTGGTGTGTTTTAGTTACCTGGAATAAAAGACACAAATTAGAGAACCAATGTTATTTGCAGAAGTGCATGAATCCAAGAGCTCCGGTTGATGGCACACACTTTATTGAGAAAGCAAAACAAATCACATATAAACCAGTTTTCGTAAAATGAGATCGCGAGTATGGTTTTGTGAAACGGCAAGACTTTTTTTCAAATGGCTAAAACTTTTCATCTAAAAAGAATTCTTGTGTGGGTCAGTTCGCCAAGAGATCTCGAGGACGCCGATCCGCCCCATCAAAATGACAATGTATGTGACAGCACAAAAGCCTCAGTTGGTCTCCACTGCAGATATAAATCCCAGGCCAAGTCCCTCAACCGTCCAGCTCTTCAAAACCTTGCCAACAAAAGCAGACGATTTGGACCTTTGCCATATAACTATTTTGGACATGATGGAGTGTCATCATTATGTCTTGCATTTAGTTATGAATTGACTCGGTTGTGCGTGCACTGCACTGGAAGCTATGCGCTGGAAGCTAAAGCTGGTTACACAGTAGTTAATTATTTAGTGGTATTTTAGTGCCCTAAGGAATTACTTATCTAAGTGGGACTTAACCCGCGCCCCACTGGGGTCTGTGTATAACACGCCCTACTGGGGGGGGGGGGGCTATTCATAGCCCCCCCTCCTAACTCCGAAACTACTGGGCCGATCGTCAAAATTCAAACGGCGTCTGATAGCCCCGGAAAAACTGTCGAGCGAAACCTAATTTCATTGACCTCGAGGTCACCGATGACGTCACAGGTCAGGTCAAAGTAAAAATTATTAGTATTTTGGCTTGTTCACATTTTGGGCTCTGGCCGCCGTCTTACAAGTCAGATCAGGCTCATTTTTGGTACACACACTCTTAAATAGATGCTCTAGATACCCTGAGGGTACCAAGCTTTTACTTTGATTTTCAGGTCAAGGTCAGGTCATCACAGGTCACGAAAATATTTTATCATGCGTCGGTCACGTGACACATGTTTTATGGTCCATTTAGGCCATAGATTTCGAATTTGATGTCGTCTGTGTCATTCGAGGTCATTTTGAGTCGAATTTAGCTTAGGTCAGGTCACTTTCAGGTCAAAAAAGGTCAAATTTTGAAGTTAAAATTTTTCAACAAAAAAGGTGTCTATTGGATGCAGTTGGAGCTCAGGAACACGATGGTGCCATTTATATTGGCGTACGATGTCAAATACGTACTGAAAAATTGATTTGAAAAATTAATAATTGTGAATTTTTTGCAATAATGCGTATAACTTGGCCATTTTTGAAGATATTTAGCTAAAACTTGCTAGAGTTAGTCATAACCAAGCGTTCTGTCACATATATTCCGGTTTTTTCGAAAAGTCAAAAACTTTTTGGAAAAAATATAAAAATACAAATTTTGAATATTATTATATCAAATTTTCGAAATTTTCAAAATTTTGAAAATTCGAGATAGCAGTTTGATAGCGCGGTCAATTCTGAGTCCTTTCATGCAAAGAAATTGGATCTAGCTTAAAAACTGAGCTCTTGGGAGCGATTGCCGTGGTTCAATGTTTTGCGTCGAAATCGGCCGAACATGACGTCACTCTGACGTCATTTCCGGCCGACCTATGGTAGCTACGAAGTTCAAATTTTGACACAAGGTGTCAAATTGATGCTGCCAAAGGTACTGTAAGTTTGGCGTCGATCCGTCAAGCGGTTTGGAAGTTATTGCAGAAAAACGGGAGGGGGGGGGCTATAAATAGCCCCCCCCCCCCCAGTGGGGCGCGGGTTAAAAGTCATCCTATATACTTTTACTCAGGTTGATAAATTAATGGTATACTTTTCAGAGCCTCAAGAGTAAAGCCTGTAATTTTTTAAATGATGGCAAATGTTTCATTCAAATGATGGCATCGTTTACTATTCCATGTAATTTCGCATTCAAAAAGGCTCCTCAATGGGGGTCGAAATATTTGCCATCATTAAAAAAAATACAGGCTTTACTCTTGAGACTCTAAAAAGTATACCATTAATAAATTAATTGAATTACTTATCTATAGGCACGTAGTTGGCTATGATGGTCGTAAACGGTAATCATGCGTCACAAATATCCAGCTAAGTTTTTCACACATTTTTGTCTACTGGAAATGCGAAATTACTTATATACCACTTTGCGTACTGTGATGCAGCGGGAAAATCTTGCAAATTCTCTGTACTATACAAATTAAGTGAATGATATGCATTTGATGATCCACTGTCACAAAAAGTTAGGTATATAATGTTCATTTTCGTTTGTCCTTTTAGGAATCAGCTTAAAATTTACGAAAAGTATAAGGTGCCTTTAGAAGACGTAGAATAAACTTCGGCTTCCCTTTACACCAATGCAATTTCAAATGTAGACCGTTCAACAATATTTAACTGTTCAACGGGTCGATTTACGAGATGGTGACTCCTTGGCAGTCTCGTCACTGGTTATCACACGTCCACGGAGCCTGAACCTGTCTATTCACCGTCGCAACTGACCGTGATTCTCATAACCCATCAAACCAGCACTAAAACCTGGAGCACAAACACCTCGGGCTAATTGAGCTCGCGGCGCGGTCGGGCAGGCTCGTAGCTCGGCGCGTCCGGCGGCGCGGTCGGTGCACTTACGCGCTCTCCGAGAGATCAGCCAGCCGAGTCGCGGTGCGGTGGTACGGGGGCACCCGGGCCGCGGACTGCGGCACCCCGCCCGGGCACCGGACGGCGCCGCCGCCTGGCCGGCCGCCAGCGACCAAACATAGCCGCGCTGACGGCTGTGCCAGCGTCACCCGGCGGCGGGCGGCGCGCGACACCGCCCGCGGCCCTCCACCGGCCCTCCGACCGTCAGAGGGAGGGGAGGGCGCTGTCCGGTCAGGGCGCGCCAGGCCGAACGGGTCATGGTCCAAGTGTTGTGTCAAAGACAATGAAAAGGTCGGACTCGAACGTTTTGGAAAAGTATTATGCAATGAAATGTTTATTTAAACGTTTTATTCGAAAATGAGAATTATAGGTCGTACATTTACCTCCCACGGCGAAAAATAAAGCACGATTTTTTCCTAACAATCAGGTTTCGTCTCTAACTTACAGCTTCCGTCGACGGTCGTGGCAAATAAATGAATGAATAAATGAATTCTTCAGTTTCACGTGGTGAGGCATCTCGTGGAACGGTTCCAGGCCAGATGCCAATTTGGAAACCATGGGATCTAGAATTTCGCTTGGCAGAAGTTCCAATCATGTCATTTGAATCAAGAACATGCAATTTTTCATGTGAAGGCCGCATTACCACATCATGATAAACCTACTTAACCCTCGCACGACCAGGCCATTTCTCATAACACGAACGACCAGGGGGGGGGGGGTTGTTACGACCCCCCCCCTGGCGTTTCGAAACGGAAGGTCGTAGAGCTTAGCGGAAAAAACCAACGGATTGCTCTCAACGAGATCTCGCGATTGGTGGTATATTTTTTGGTCCCAGGTCAACATTTGACCTACTTTTGACCGGTCAAAGGTCAAATTTTCGGAAAAATAGACTTTTTTCAACTTTCGGCGGCGATTGCGGCAAAACGGTGGGAGATATCGACTTGAAACCTTCACTATCGTGTTTCTTGATCAATTCTCTATCGTTTGGTATGTATTTCGTTTCCCTAGCTCTAAAAATGGCGCGTTGGGAGCGCCGGAAGTCGGCAAGGTCACAGTCGGCGGCAGAAATTCGAAAAATCAAAATTTAAATTTTTGAAATCTGATTGTATTTTTGGATTTGGGAGGTCCATTTGCTCCCTATAGAAGCTAATATTGCTGCATATTCCCATTGAGGTGACAAGAATTAGCAAAATAGTGGTTCGGGCGCTTTTCAAAAATAGTACCGGACGCTGTTCCTCTTGTGACGTCATAGCTCCGTGACCTGACCTGACCCGGTCAAATTTCTTATACCATATGATAGCCAATACTTGCCCCAACATGCATGGGAAGTTTCATCACGATCCATCAACCGATGTCCGTACCACCGGCAGGAAACCTCGGGCGTTGGAACTCAGTTTGTGAAAATCCGGCCGGAGGCTGTACCTCTTATGACGTCATAACTCCGTGACCTGACATGACCCGATCAATTTTTTTTCGACAAAAGATGCGCAAAGGTTGCCCCAGAGGGTATTGAAAATTTCAGCCCGCTACGACAAGCCGTTTAGCGTGCACTTCGAAAAAACCTCAGGGGGGGGGGTTGATACAACCCCCCCCCCCCTAGGCGTTCTAGGGTTAAATCTTTAAAATACTGGGAGTGTAAAACCCAGCATTACTGTATGCCTGGCCTATTCAAATACATTAGCCAGAGGGGTGTGGTAATAACTGGTGTAAGCAAATTGACCACGGTCAAAAATGCATTACCAGAATGCACTTAAGCCAACATTTTGGGATGGTCTCGTTCCTAAGTCGGCTAAGAGCTTCGGTCCAGAAAAAATTTATCGTTGGCATACAGTAAAATGCATACCAAACTCGGCCGGTGATAAATTTTCAAGACCTCAGTCCTTACTGATTTTGAACTCGGCCTTCGGCCTCGTTCAAAAATCCAGTAAGGACCTCGGTCTTGAAAATTTATTGACACCGGCCTCGTTCAGTATTATATATGACTAAGCGAAAACTTTACAATATTTAATCTCAATTATCTCAATTTTCACAATTTCCTTGATATAGTGTCCTTAATCATCCTCATTCCCAAGCTTACCTTTACCTACATCTTCGATGATAACCAGTGAATACTGTTTCCCCTTCTACCCGTACTCTTGCCCCGGTCCTATACCGTACTTTTTCACCTTCACGCTACAATAAACAGAGTAGTGAGTACATCAACACGTTTAACATCGCCAAACACACTTGAGGTTACTACAAAACACACAGTCCCAAGTCAGAGCAACCAGCGGCTGTCAGCCACCCCGCGCAGAACATTGTCCAAACATTGACACAGGCGTTTGTCCCGCGGTGCTCAGCCGCCTGAGCCCCGGGTGCCGGGTCGACGCGGGGTCTGATCCCCAACAACAACAGAGCCGGGAGACCGCCGTGATGTGAGAGAAATCGGCCAAATGACAGTCCCATTCAGCTGCGCCAATCGCTAATGTGTGCACGCGAACTACCAGTGATGGCGAAGCAAGCTAACAGGGTTCGTTGACGCCTGACGTTATGCTGTGCCGCAACGCCCAGTACAGACTACAGGCCTTGCGGCACAGCATAACTTCAGGCGCCGATTACTAGTGCCATCTGGCGGAAGGAATCGGAGCTACCGATGTTGGCCTGGCGTACGCTATTCGCTCAATCTGTTGTCAGTAAACCGATTGCTGGAAGCAAGCAAAATAAAACGAGGACCAAGTTCAGTCATGTAACTTTCTCACGGCACATGCTCAGTTTCTTGTAGTCTATGAAGTCTCTCTCCCCTTCCTTGGCCACATGCGGATCCAAAAATGCTGCCTTCGACGCTGCAGAGGGCATACCTACCCCTGAAAAGTTTTCTCCAAAAGTCCAAAAACTCCTCGGATTTCGATTCCTTATGAACTGCTGTGTTGTTTCAAGCAAGCTTCTGTTCACAGTAGTTGCTTACTTAGTACTTTTCTTTCTTTTCTAATAAAAACGACAAAATTCAATCGATTTCCGGCGCTGCGAGAGGAGCAGTTGCCCCATATTCCCTTGCATTGCCAGTGCTCTCGGCTCCTTCTACAAAATAGTAGACTTAGACGCGTCTAGCTAGACGCGAAATGGAAGCCTTCGCCAATTGGGTGGAGCAATGTTTTTATCGTTTTATAGCAATGTGGTGACCAGCAACAGCCCGACAAAAAAAAATGATTACCAACAATTGGCTTTAGAGTTTAAGGGCAATGTTTATGCATAAAAAATGATGAATTGACACGGATATTATTGTTAGTGTTTTATTACGGAGCGAGCGAAGCGAGCGTAGTCTTTCCTACATGCCGGGGTATGTCTTAAGCACAGCACGAGCCGGGCAGTAAAACTATGACCAAGAAACTGTCGGTGTCAAAATGCCATGTTATTTGATAGGCCGGGCAAGAAACAAAAGTTTACTGCCCGAGTTTACTGCCCAGGGCAATGACCTGTAAACTACAGTTTATCGCATTAGTCCAGAGGTATAATTGACAGGGAATGTATAACTGACATCATTATTGCATGATATTTGCCGCGTAAAATTAGAAAACTAACATTTTTGGTAAATATCTGCTCTGCTTATCAAGGGTTTTGAAATATTTTGCATTGGTTACAAAGCGGAAATTATGGTAAGATATAGGTACGCCTATTAATCGAAATCCGTTATCGCTTGTTGTCTTATCTTCGTTTGATATGTCCACTGATACATTGGGCCTAAGTTAATGCGTTTTTATTTGGCAGTTGTAGTCCTTTCCTCGAAACAAACATGTAAAATATGGAAAATATAATGTATTCAACGAACGTTTAGCCATAGGGCATATCAACAAAGTACGATTACATAAATGAAGCAAAGATTCTTGCAAGAGCACTGGGAAAATTCACGTTTAACCACTAGGAATATTATACCTTCTTCTTGTTCTTATGTCGTTGCAAATCATTCAAGTAATGTTCCTTGGATATCTAATTGTTGTGCCATTCTGAGTTTATATTTTCAGACGTGATTCTTTTTGAAGTAAGGTATTTTGATGCATTTCTTCTATAAATTTCCTTTAAGGCTTTATCCACAGCAGTAGCGCAATCACTGTTAGGAAAATATGGACAAAACAATTGCATAAAAGTGTCACCAAAACCTGTCGAAACTAACCTAGCTATGCGGCATGTAGGAAAAATCTTACTGACCTCAGCCGTACGAAATTATTTGGAAACTCGGCTTGCAAAATTTGACTCCGCCCCTCGTGCTTCGCACTCGGGCCTACGTCAATTTTGCAAACCTCGTTTCCAAATAATTTCGTCGGCCCGGTCAGTAATTACGGAGCGAGCGAAGCGAGCGTAGTCTTTCCTTAGATTAACGGAAATTTCTGAGTATGAGCGGCCGGCCGGCCGGCCGTGGTCACGCTTTTGCGAGGCTTATATCTCAGCAACCACTTGACCGATTTACACGCGGTAATTTTTGTAGGGTAGCTTCATTCCTTCTACCAAGTATTGGACTATTCCCGATGCATGTGGGTGACCCCTTATGCACGTGCCACGTGCAAAACGAAGAGGTGTCACTTTTGTAATTGTTGCAATATCTCGGTAACTACAGATACAGATACAGATGTGTATTCATCTAGGATCCACAATAAAAGTGGCTTTTCACCAGACACGTAAAACCAGATAAAACAAGGAACATACAGACAGTACGAGTAGGCATAGATATCACTGGCAAACACAAACAAGCGTGCGACTGGAACAGGTTCAGACAGCTACTCGGCGTCTCGACATGATCACACGCTTCACATTGGCGCGAAACGCTGGTATATACGGGCTCAACTCGGCACCGTTTAACATCGCGACTCCTCTAATACATAGTCGACGTCTCCCCGTCTCTGTTCGGGCCCGTGGCTGTGTTATCAGCCCTGCGTTTCGGGTGTTGTGGTCGTGTATGTCGCGGGCTACAGGACCGATGGTATCACTGATATGTTCAGGAGTACCCGATGTGATGGCTCGGTGGACTGCGCAGATAGTGTGGTACTCGGCTAATTCGTCTGCCCGCAGCCAGCCGAGCTGCTGTATGACGTCAGAGATGTGGTCGCTGCGTCTACGGCCACT